TGTGTCCTGTACTGTTGTTTTCCTAGGAGGACACCTCTCTACCCTTACGGAAGGTGATGACATGTAATAAATGATTGATCGTCTATGTATCACATGTGTTTGCACATGACCAATTCACTGCAGCTGGGGGAGGTACCAGAACTGATACCCCACCACCTCCTCCTGCACCGCGCTTTGACCTCCCCAGGACTTTTGTATCTATAGTCTAACTTTGCATTAAATGTTAATGCGCTCGGGGTGCAGTCATCATCGTACAGACATGAGCAACTTGCGTACGTGACCAAACTCCAGGTCCTGGAGAGTGTGCCGCCATGGGAGCGCACTCAGCCTGTTTGTGTCTCTCCCAGTGAGGAGGCTGTGTCTACTGCTTTAGTTCTTAATTAATATTACTGCTAATAGATTAATATTTATATGTCCCAGATTATAACAAAGATGTGTGTCTCGTTTCTCTCTGTGAGAGAGTCAGTTTCAGGAGTTTGTAGTTTATCATAAATATCTGCTAAATTACAGTGTTTTAGCAACAACAAGGTGTTGTGGCTGTTTGGATGAGCTCAACTTGATTATATTTAGAACCATACTGAGAGATAACTGTACTGTGATAAATGTAATTTAATAAATGACCAAATATGAAAAACAAATGGTATTAAATTACTACATGAGCTGAAATCCTGTAAATACAATCATTTTGATTGAAATAATCATTTTAGGAAAGAAAGCTGTCAGTCTGGAAAAATAAATAAATAAATAAATAAATAAATAATTAATAATAATAATAATAATAATAATAATGATGCATGTTCAATAATGCATGTAGAACAATCTAACAAATAGAGATGCACTGATCCGATAACAATATCGGTATCGGTCCCGACATAGAAAAACTTCCAGATCGGGTATCGGTAACAATGTGACCGATCTATGACTGGATAGATCTATTCACTCTAATTCTATGCTTTGTGCTCTGAGTGACGTCACGCACTAGTGAACTCACCGCACAGATTGTTTTCAAAATGGAGCGAGCGAAAGGATCAGCCATCTGGAACTATTCCACACTACCTCAGTTTCAGAAACGGGTCCAGATGACATGATTTAGCCATTTTTGTTAATTCAGCACAGCTTTTCTGTATCAGATCGATATTGGATCGATATCGCCCAATACTAACCCTCAGATATCGGTACTGGAAGTGAAAAAAGTGGACCGGTGCATCCCTACTAACAAAGTTAAGTCCTCTGGACGGTTTATTTCTGTTGAAACGTTTCAGTTTTCATCCACAAGACTTCATGAGTCCGAGGAGCGATTACTTCTCATAGTGGATCAACCAGCTGGTTGATCCACTATGAGAAGGTGATGTTCATAAGACTGAGTTTGTTGTGGCTCCTTGGACAGATCAAGTCTTTTGGATGAAAAATGAAACATTTCAACAAAAATAAACCGTCCAGACGACCCAACTTAACTTTGATAAGTTAATTTATACTCTGTAAATGACTTCCTGTACTATCATTTTTTAATATATCTGACGACCCCTTAATTGGAAATGATGAAATGACGAAAGTAAACTAGAGAAAAATTGTTAAAAGTCCTCTCTTCCTCCAGAATGCTGCTAGTCTTTATGGGGAAGGTTAAAGTCTTCTTACAACTTCAATGCTTCATTAGAGTACTTTTACTAAGGTCATGTACACACTTTATTGAGTACTTTTACTAAGGCCATGTACACACTTTATTGAGTACTTTTACTAAGGTCATGAGCACAGTACACTCCTCTCTATGTGAAAACCTTTGAAAAGTGGCATGTATGCAGGAAAACACTTTCAAATGTGTAGTATAGTGTGTGTGTGTGTGTGTGTGTGTGTGGGGGGGGGGGGTAAATCTCTAGGTGTAGAAAAGATCAGTTAAAAAATATTGTCCCTGCTTTAATCCCCATCTTAAATAAGCTGTGAGTGCCTCTCTTACAAAGTCTGATGACACAAAAGAGGATGAGAACGAGGAAGTTCCACTCGAGCAGCTCCTCAAAGAGTCGGCCACTCAGTAGCTTTCCAAGCAGGCTACAAGATGGCTGACTGAGAATATGTGTAAATCTAAAAAAGTTCAATCTGGTCCTCTGGACATTCAAAAAAACAAAACAAAGCAAAACAACAAAAAAATGTAGAAACGTTTCGTCTCTCATCAGAGAGACTTCCTCAGTCTGAGGTGCTGTTTTCAGCTCAGTCTCTTAAATAGAGACTGATTTAGATTTTTCTACCTGGATTATTGAGTATGCATCAGGAAATATGTGTAAACGTTGTACATAGTGCAATATATTTATTAAATTACATTTTTCTTGCCTTCCTTACTGTAAAGTTGCAGACAACCACATTCTTTCAACAGGTTGTCCCATGGATACCTACCCCCCCCCCCCC